TTTATGTTTATTTTTCTTTGTATTTCAATGTATGTTTATGTTACGCGATATCTTCGCAAATTGTACACCGATTTTAATAATTCCTTTTTTATTAAATAGGTTTACCTCAAGGGTGGTCCTGTTAAATATTGAAGATAAAATTCCGTCACCAAGGGTGGAAAATAAGGGGAAATAATTTCATATAGGACTATTATTTAAGGAATTTCATATGATATCTTCGCAGATAAAGAACCAATTTTACGTATTCTTTTTTTTTCAAATATTTTTTTATAGAATAAGAAGACTAACAAACGAGCACACAGTACACCTAATGGTAAGTGGATGCTGTGGCCCATAGACGTCTATATGTATCCTCGATTAAGAATTTAAATGCGTTGCTAGAGTTAAGGACTAAGATGGAATGCCTCGTTTCCAGTAAAAAGGGTCTCCAGTTCTCTACACTTACCATACGAAACACAGCAGCATGAAGCTACTATATTACGCTGGTATTCTGTGAGAGCGTGGTCCTGCCCAGGTCGAGCCGACTCATTCGTACTACAACCATAATATAGCTGCAGCTTCGCTGTACCACGTAAGAAAAGATTTATGCTCAAGGGTGATCACATATAAATTTGGAGAAAATATTCCAATGGAGGTCGGTTTTTAAATTTTATTAAAATTTATAATTATTTAAACAGTTACTAATTTCCATGCAACCCTAGAAAATAGTAAAACAAATTTTGTGCGAAACTAACACAATTAGAATTCATTTGTTTTGTATGGCGTCATTTTATACAATTTAGTTATTTTTTTCAATTATTATTGGCAACTGCTTGACTACCATACAATCCCATCTGAAAATAAGTGATGGATGTGTTAATGCTAAATCGCACTTTACGTGTTAATATATATATATATATATATATATATATATATATATATTTGTAGTTGTAGAACGAATGAGTTGGCTCGACCGGTCAATGACCACGCTCAGAAGGTCACAGAATACCAGTGTAAAATAGCTGCATAATAATCTGTGTTTTGTATGATAAGCGTAGAGAACCGGAGACCCATTTTACTGGAAACGAGGCAGTTAGTCAGTCCACAGGGGTGACGACGCTGTGCTGTAGATGTAGATGTCTACGGGCCAAAGCATCTACTTATCATCAGGACTGTGTGCTCATTTGACGCCCGTATTCTATAAAAAATGTTTTAATAAATGAGTTATAGGCGGTTATAGTTACTAACAAACTTGGTGATAAAATCTACGTCAATTAGGGAATATAATACTTAATTGATGTAAGCGGTGTGTAATTTTTGAATTTTCACGAAATTTTTCTTTGCTTTTGCTACTTTTTACATGAATTTAGCTTTAAAAATATTTTTTTGTCTGTTTCTACGTACAAATATAACTCGAAGGCAATTGCATTTATGGCCACAAAATTTGCGCAGGTTTTATACATTAAGTACCCTACCTGTTTACCTTGTTTTTTTTTTCTAACTGTAATAGATATTAATCTATGATAACCTCAAGGGGTTCTAAAGTTGTTATTTTTATGTTTTGTATACTCCAAGGACATTAGTAAAATTGTAGAGTGTGTACGGAATACGTAATACGTAATTTTCGAAATTTCAGTTTCAAATTGGTTTTTCCGCGTGTGTATATTCCATACAATATTACATTACCTAAACACGCTAAAAATATTTCCCGTCCATAAAATGGATTCAATTTAGAAACTATTTTAGTATTGAATCTATCGGTTGAAAAATGTTTTTGTAAGATTTTCTTTTGTTTTGCATTCCCCCGAATGAAGTTGTGGACACAACAGATAGCTATTTATAAACTTGAATAAAATTTTGATATAAATTCTGACATAGAAAACATTCCTAAACATCATTGTGTTGTGTTTAAGTTAATTCGTGACCACCTCATATACGTACTTTTTATTGTTTCAAGATAAAGTTTTATCGTCAAACAATAAAAAAATATTATTTTTAACGTTGAAATTTTTTTTAAGTGTGATACTTATATTATAATGTTCGAGAATTCAGGAAACTAGTAACTTCAGGAAACTACTAACATCAGAAAACCCAATAATCCATTTAAATAATTGGAAGTTTATTTATTAGTTGTTTATGCCATCCGACAACTTCACAACAACAATACTCTTGTAATGTTTATATCATAGAATACTATAATACACAATAGAATGGCTGTCAACCTTATTTTGTACGAGCATAGGCATCGCTGGGAGCACACATACAAGCGATTACGTCGTATTACCAGTTAATCACAACTAAAAACCATCCGATTCACTGTATTGACAGACGGATTTTAAAACATATTTATTTGCAATTAGCGAGCAATTTGGCATTTTCTAAATAACTTGCATGCGAAATTTGGAAACGATTGTAACGTCAAAACACATCTCATGTTGACTTTTATACGTGTAAATTGACGTGTTAGTGGCATTTTAGTGGCTACACGGGCTCAGCCCACTTCCCTGTTCTATTATGTGTGTATTGTAGTATTCTACGGTTTATATAATAATCTAGGAACAATACTTTTCACCACATCATGGATTGACTGGTAGAGAATGCCAACTGGCACTAAAAGGCAGCACTCCTTTGTTACCTTTAATGTAACACAATAGTTTTTAAATGAAAATAAAACAAATATAAGTAAAAAAAAGTAAAGTAACAGCCTATAATAAACGCCCCGATGCTCCAGGCACAGGCCTCCCAACATAAATAAAATGTTTTTGCCGCATGGCTCTTCTATTCCTAGCAAAATATATTTTTATAATTTCTAGAACATCACTACTTACTTTTGCAAAAAAAAATAAACAATTTTAGTGGACATGAAAAAGGCGAGTGTTTATACTCGAAGCTACCATGGCTTACATACTCTGAGTATAGACAAGAATATGAAATAAAGTAAAAAAAAAATTAATCGAATTATAACCATACAAACATACGTGCAAATTTTTACTTCCGGCGAGATTTGAATTCGCAACTTCAAACTTAGCGGCTAGTCTCAGAGAACTTTACTAGCCACATTCAATCGGCCCGCTCTACTATCCGCTCGATTGCTTGCGAACAAAAAAAGGGTAGCTTAGTTTGCCAGTAATCGGGACTGTGTTTCTCACGTTCGAACCGCCGTCAATAAAACTTAATTTATGACTTACTCGAGAGGAGCACTTCAAATATTTTAAATTTTATGAATAGCCATTGAAATAAGAAATGAAAGTACGTATGTTGTTCTATCAAAATATTATTACAATAATATTTTAGAGGTGTTGAAATCACAAGTACAAGCCATTTTAGCGACATTTTGTAAAACATCGGGTTTATCAAAAAAATAAGATCGATAAGTGTATGATTATTTATTATATCCTTAAACTTAATGAATTGTTTAATATATTTATATATATTATAAAACGATTTATATTTAAATACATAGTAAAAATATTAGGTGAAACCCGATGAAGAATTCACGGATTTGCAATTGACCGCGATTTGTTAGTTACAATCTAGGCTCTTATTACATAAAAACTTATATTATAATATTAGGAACAATTTATAAAACTTTATTACTTAAATTTAATAATTATATTTAAATACCAGTACGACTATCTCGTATTCAAAGAATACAACATAATTACGATAATATAAGCTATAGAAAATTATGTTTAGATTCGCGTCATTCTGAGTATTTTTAAAAGTTGACTTTATCACATTTTTCATACACTATTTGCAAAAATATTACTTTAATACAAGAAAACACTAATAAGACATTAAGTTAGTATACAAATACTAGCAAAAATCAATAAAATTCAATACTCACGGCATATTTTATCACCTCGTTAAATCCACTCAAGCGTCACTTCACTCATTAAAGTTTAACTAACAAAGTTTCAATATTTTTCGTCCAAGAGGTTGGTAATTTTGATCCAAATCTATGATTTATACATTTGTTTTTGATTTTAATACGTAATAGTTAGACTCTGTGCGTTTAAAATATGGTCTAAATTCAATTAAAAGAACTTCGACGCTTTGCAACCACAGTTGCATAGATCAAAGTAAAGGATTCTGTTTTTGCAACTGTGGTTGCGAGAAGCAAACGAGCGGCTATAATGAGTATACTGAATAATGATATAGATGAGCGCTGCGTAAAAAATCATGCTACACTTCTTGCCGTTGCTTCTTCTTTCGCACACATCTTTCCTCTTTCTTTCTATAACAGCCCGCAAAATTCACTACTTGACGCACACATATGTACCTAAAAGCACTAATGGATGCAAATGATTTTAGATGCGTTGTGTAAGTGAGTGTGTGTTCTTACAAGTTAAGCATGGTTTTGTTTCTTTTTGGCTTAGAATATCAATAATATTTTATTATGTGAAAATACTGAGTGTACTACTATGCAAAATTACATCAAATCTCTTGATCTAGAATTATTTAATGCTTATTTATGTTACAATGTTTATACAATATTTACAATAGTGTAACATTGCAAATATTAATAATTAGTTAGTAGTATTAAATATAAGTTTATTAGTAAAATATAAGACACTTAACATTTTTTTCTACACAACTATGTCTAACTTGTTTTTTTTTAATGATCACTAGCAACAACTACATATTTTCGTGCAGTCAAATGCGCAACGCTAACTTACCTTATTTAATAGACGTAATATAAAATTATTGATGATTTTTTTAATGTCTGAAAATAATCTACATTAACCACTAAAAACTAAAACGTCTGTGACATTTTTCACAAGTTTTTACTTTATTTTTATTTTACTTTAGTTTAATATAAAGGCAATAAGTCAGTTATCTATTAACTAACAAAGAAAAAAAATATATGGCGCTGCGTACATTTTAAGTGACTCAAGTAAATGCACTTACACATCCTATGCAATGCATATAAAATCATTAGTGACCAATGGTTTAAGGTGTACATACGTGTGCGTCCAGCAGTCAACTTTTATGAGTTGTTAGAGAAAGAATTAAGAAAAATGTTTGTGTAAGTGCGTGTTACGAAGTTCAATATGGTTTTGACATCAATTGAAATGAATTACATCGCTTCTTCTTGTATGTTTTTGGTTTGAGCTTAAATATCATTAACTGAATTTTTGTCTATTGTTAAAAATGGTAATATTTTTTTTTAATTTTTAATCGATTTCTATTATGAGATGAATTGAAATATTCTATTTTTGATTGACTGAGTTTTATGATATGAGATGAAATAGAGTAAATGAGGCCTTATACTTTATTGTGGGGAAAAAGGCACGTATGGCAATTCAAAATGCTGTGTTGGTCCCTGCTTTAACGTATGGTAGTAAAGTTTGGTGTGGCAGAAGAAGCACGAGAGTTGAATAAACGTAGTAGAAATACGGTCTCTAAGGAGTATGTTAGGGCTTAATCTGAACGATAGGATGAGAAATTGTGTGAGAAAAGTGTGGCTTGCAAGATGATGTTGTGACCAGGATTGAGAAAAGAATGCTTCGGTGGTGTGGTCATGTGGAAAGAATAAATAAGGAGAGAGTAACAAAGTAAATTTGAAGAAATGAACGGCAGAATCAGAAAGGGACGTCCTAGGCGAAAGTTTAATGACCAAATTGTCGATATATTGTAAATGGGCCAAATTAGGAGTACCCTTAACCGACCAGCATGTATGCGTAGGTATATGAATGTAGAGGAGGCGAGAGAAGTGTGTCAGAATCGTGCCAAATGGAAGTCTGTAGTCTCTGCCTACCCCTCTGCGTGACATGCGTGAGTGTTTATGTATTATGTATGTATGTTATGTATTATGTATGTATTATGTTTAGAGTAACTAACGATTCATACGCCATTGACTTATAAATAACTTTTTGTGTAGTCTTTTTTCGCATACAAGAGGGCCTTACAGCCTTGATTATTAAATAATCAGCAAACATCAAGGCTACTATTGAATAATGAAATAAACACGTTCACCATAGCTTAAGAATACACATGGTAACATAACTTGGATCCTTAATATATTTAAATCTTGTATCGATTCAGGAAAGGCAAAACCTAAAATAAATGATGGCCGACTTATGGCAATCATCCATCCATTATAACCTATGAAAGTTCACTGCTGAACATATGCCCCCATAAGTTGCCTCATAGGGGGGATTTTGCCATAATTGCCACGCTTAGCAGGCGGATTGGCAACCGCAGATTTTTATGTTTTCGATTTGGATTATCAGGAAGATGCTGCCGTTCATCTCCTGTTTCTCTCTGTCGCCACTTACAACACCTACGGGACGATATAAAGTGGTGAATATGGGTACAACGCCACCACACTGTAAGTAAATGACACTTATGCCAATAATATTATATATATATATATATATATATATATATATATATATATATATATTTTTTTTATATATGTATATTATACTAGCTTGCCAGGCAGACGTTGTTCTGCCCTTTACGTCGACAATTTCTCATATCCTATTAAAAATCCTTAAATTCGCTATAGCTGTATATATAGCTGCAGCGTGGCTCTACCACGTAAATATGATAGTATGGTTTCTTGGAAACGGTTGAACCGATAATAATGATTGTTTAATTAAATAGATGAAATACAATAAATAGTTATAGGACATAGTTCATCCCTGCGGATGAAGAAATAGGGGGTGAAGATTTTAATGTAACATTCTAGCCGTTTTCTTGTACTTAGAATATTACTCAGTTCACTTTAAGCGGTAAAGCAAAAATAACAGTTTAAGATCCGATCCTCATTATAATGCTTCCACGAGCTTGTCATTCATATCGTCCACTGCATTGCAATCTTGTAGGCACTGAAAGCGGTTACGTAACTCGAGCTGAAAGTTTTCGGGATTCTGGATTAGAGCACGATGGGGAGGGAGCGTTGACTTCATTAGACGAGACCTCTCCAACTTAACGTTTAGGTTCAGTGTGCCTCTAACCATTCGGTGATGGCTGCCAGTTTTCACCCTTGCGATCACTGAGACATCACTGAACAGTTGGCGTCTGGCCGTCATAATGAAGTTAATCTCATTTTTTGTCGAACCGTCGGGGCTCGACCAGGTCCACTTCCTGTGGGGCCGCTTCTGGAAGAAAGAGTTCATCATAAAGAGTCCCTCTTTCTCCATAAATTCGGCCAGCTGCTGGCCCCTTCGGTTCCGTTGCCCTACTCCAAATTTCCCTAACTTCAGCTCACCATTTTCACATGTGCCTAGTTTTGCGTTGAAGTCTCCCATCAACATCATGTAGTGGGTTTTGGAGGAATGCATGGCTTTGGAAATATCCTCATACATTTCCTCCACCTCCTCATCGGGATGAGCCGAGGTTGGTGCGTAAACCTGTATGACCTTCAGCGAATACCGTTTGGTGATTCTGAGTATCAGGTACGCGACCCTCGTCGACACACTCCCAATATTTACAACGTTGTTGACGAGAGACTTGTGGACGACAAATCCGACACCTCCTTGGGACAGATGGTCGCCCTCCCGGTGATAGAACAAGTTGCCGGATTCGAGAATCACCGTGTCCTCCCCCTCTCTTCGGACCTCGGATAATCCTATAATATTCCAGCGCAACTTGTCTATCTCTTCTTCCAGCTCCAGGATCTTCTCGTCAGTCCTCAGGGTGCGTGCGTTAAATGTTGCCAGGTCGAGTCGTCGTAGGTGGCAACCGAAACTCCACCGGAGATTCTTAGCACCCCCTGCCCCGCCATTACCATGGTCGCCACCGTAGCCAGGAATAGCGGGGCCGCCGGGGACTGGTGGCCGTCTATTTATGTAATTGTTCATGGGGGGTATATTGCCATAGTTGCCACGCTTGGCGAGCGGGTTGGCAACCGCAGTTTTTTCTTGTCGTACAGTTGCTGTTATCAGGAAGATGCTGCTGCCCATCTCCTGCCTGTTTCCCTCTGTCGCCTTTTACGACACCCACGGGAAGATATGGTGTAGTGGATTTTCTTAACCGCCACTACACGGCATACAAATTCCCAACCAAATATAAACAAGACTCCACCATTATATCAAAGTTGAACACTGTTAAGGATTTCCGCGTTACGTTTGAACGAAAACTTTTTCACGGCCATATCACTACCGTAGTGTATCCAAAATAGACAAAGGTTGTTTTCCGTCACTCGAAAGATTTTAAAATTACGTTACAGCAAACTTTTTGTTAGTATGTTACGCGTTGATTTTGAATCGATTTTGATGAATCTTATTAAATAGTTCCTATATAAATTCGTGAAGAAACTTCTTTCCCCTAAGGGTGACAAAATAAAATATCTAATACTTAATTTCACATTCTGAAGTCGGGACTTCTATCATTTATCTGTACAATATTATGTCTTAGAGTTGACTACGTAAAATATTTTCATTATTTTTAGTTCTTTGAAGTCTTCTACTTATTAACTGAAAGTTAACTTTTTAACTGTTCATTTAAAAAAATACAATTTTTTTTGCAAAAAGAAAGTTACATCCCTTTTGGGGGAGTGGACATAGGATATCACGTCGTTGGTAAGGTACTCTGATTTTTTTGTCGCATTTATGTCTCACCACACTATTATTTGAAAAAAAAAGTCCCGCTGGGTTCTTGCTGGTTCTTCCCAGGACAGAGGTTTTTTTTTTGCGAACTAGTGGTAAATGAAAAAATTGACTTTCACTAAGTATTGTTTATAATCTACATTGAATAAAAAACTTTCTGTTTCTGTTTCTGTGCAGGCAGGTTGGTGAGTGTAAATTCGACACTTACTTCCTACTTGGACTGGTGGATAAGTCCAAGTAGCGACCAGTTTGTGAGACTAAAGTTCATTTTTAGAATTAGTATACATACTGCCACTTGCACCATGTGTAGGTTAATTTCGTATTTAGAGGAAAGTTACATTTCCCTGCTTACTCTATTCTCGTCCATCTTCATTTCATCAGCCCGTAAAAGGCCAGTACTAAACGTAGGCCTTTCCTGTTATAGGAAAGTATAAATAACTTTTATGACTTTTTTGAAATAGTTTCAAAATAATGATTTCTTATATTTACGCGAACACTACACATTGAAATAATACTAATTTTTACGGAATTTATCGCGTATATTTAACTTTTTTTTTTACCCGACGTTTCGAGAGCTTTACAGCACCCATGGTCACGGGAAGGACTGAGATGTTCAACGTCCAGCTGTCATAGTTAACCGCGGTTACCATAGATTAAAATTTAACTTTTGTTCCGATCTACACAGTATGAACTTATGGTATCATGGAGTCTTGCAGTTGTATGCTTGGGTTGGGATTTAATTTTATTTATTATAGGATCCCAAGCAGATGGTAGCACCCAGCCATCTTCTCTATTGAAATTAGGATGGTTTTTGATTTCAATAGCCTCGCGAATCATCCTTGGAAGGAATCGGTGTTCTTTAGCGAGGATTTGTGGTCTATCAAATCTGATGTAGTGACGGGGGGCGATCCTGTACATGTTCACAGACTGCAGACTTCCCGGAGCGTCGATTCTTCACGTCAGCTATATGTTCTTTGACGCGGGTTTTAATTGATCTTTTAGTTTGTCCTATGTAGGAGAGACCACATTCACAATCAAGCTTTTACACTCCTGCATCTTGCAGAGGGACGTTACACTTGACTGATGGTAAAAACTGACCAATCTTCTTCGGCGGCTTGAAGTATGTTTTGATGGAAGCGCACTTCAAGATGTAGCCAATCTTGTCAGTGACTCCTCTAACATATGGCAGTACAGCAGGTACACGCTCGACTGTGGCCGGCTTCACTCGTTCTCTGTGACGTAGGCGCGGGACCCGAAGCTTGTTGTCATGCAAAACTTGCTTGACATGTTGGAGCTCGGCAGCCAGGTGTTTACTGTCACAGATCCCTCGTGCTCTCTGAAACAAAGATTTACCCACGGTAGCTAACTGTGAAGGATGGTGGTGAGAATCACCGTTTAAATATCTATCTGTATGGGTCTTTTTTCTATACACAGTATGGCTCAAGGTGTTATCAGGATTCCGAATTACTAA